TTTTTTACGGGAAAAGATCTCGATTCGTTCAGTTGCGGTGGTTCGCGAATTGCAGTCGATGTTTATAAATAATTTCACAGCTGCTCAGCGGCGTCAATTTCAAGCAGCAAATCGCCCACCGTTTGCTCACCCTCCGAGGCTAGGGGGGAGTGGAAGAGTAGGTGGAATTTTGGTATAAAATTCTGAGGAAATTTCGGGAAATTTTTGTGTAATTTGTGTAATTTATGTGAATGAAAAACCAGCAGATTTTTTTTTCCAAAATTTCTTCAGAATTTTCATCTTTTTCCCGGAGAATGTAGTTGATGTTTGGTGTAGGCGTGAGCATTGATAGAAAACATAATACTAAAAAGTAGAGGGAGAGTTTGTTTATTGCTTACTTGAGAATATAGTGTTGTGACTCTAGGGAAGGTGAACTCGACATAGCAATAAAGTAGTTGATAATCTATGATTGCAAATACGGAAATATCTAGCTAGCTGGAGGGATTAGATATCTAAGAGCGATCGCACAAAAAGGGACATAACAATACAGACTCTTAAGCTTAGCTCAGCTACAACACAGTTGAGGGCAGTTGTGGGAAAATATGCACATGGTGGACCACATATGTTGGTGACAATATGAAATTTCTGAGAGGAAATTTTGCAAAATTCTTGTTGGTTTCTGTACATTTCTACCCTAGTTTGTATATGAACTCCTATAATTAGTGAGGAAACTGAGCGAACATATATTAAAAACAAGGGGGACAGATCGGAACACAAGACTTCTATCGTGTTAGCATATTATTTTTTCACACAGGTGAATGCTGCGAATTTACCGCTGGCTTTAGCACAATACATTTTGAGAGAACTGAGACAACTACTCCGGCGCGCCCCTGAGAATTTGAAATATATGATATCGTACGTTGCTGTTGGAGGGCTTTCGATGGTTGATGAGGATCTCAGGAGGAGGTGGGATGGAATAATATTATTGGACCTGTTTTACGTAAAGTGGCGTACTACTCCATGAATTGAAAATACTAGAGTTCGAGCATAGAAATTTGATAGGTAAATTTGCGTTATTTTTTTGAAACTATATCACATATACTATACGTTCCACCCTAGTGATATGAAAAACATATTTAACGACTACTGTATATCACCGCGAATATCGCGTTATTCACGGCGGATATATTTATGCGATTGAAAAATTTTGATTGTTTCCGCTCAGTATTGAGATGCTGGTTTTTGCAACAGATACAGGGGGAGTATATCGCATGATTCTGATGGTTCCTAATCCTCGAGGAGAGTTTGGGGTAGCGATTGCGATTATTCATTGTAAATTACTTTTACTTAATTAATCCTTATGCAGCTTTTGTGATGGTATTATTGATAAACGTATTCACATGCAATAATCCGGATTGTTTCGATTCAGACTGTAGCAGTGTTGGAGTAGTAGGAATATATGTAATCGCTTTCCTCATCAGCTGCTGAGCTCAGAAGAGTTTATATATGAATTTGGGTAGAAGTGTAATACAGAAACCAATAAGAATTTCCTCTCAGAATTTTAATATTATCACAAACTGTTACTACTACTTCCCATCAGTGTTGGAGTAGTAGGAATATATGTAATCGCTTTCCTCATCATCAGCTGCTGAGCTCAGGAGAGTTTATATATGAATTTGGGTAGAAGTGTACTACAGAAACCAATAAGAATTTCCTCTCAGAATTTTAATATTATCACAAACTGTTACTACTACTTCCCATCAGTGTTGGAGTAGTAGGAATATATGTAATCGCTTTCCTCATCAGCTGCTGAGCTCAGAAGAGTTTATATATGAATTTGGCTAGAAGTGTAATACAGAAACCAATAAGAATTTCCTCTCAGAATTTTAATATTATCACAAACTGTTACTGCTACTTCCCATCAGTGTTGGAGTA